TACAAACTCACACACAAAAACCACAACACACTCCTCTCCCACCTCCATTAAAAACAACTCTTGAAAACAAAAAAACACATTACTAACCAAGAAAATCACATTTTTTCCTCCCAAAAAATTCACTTTAAACACCCCACCTTCACATTTGAACACACACTCAACACACAAACTTGCGTGTAGCTTTCAGCACGGAGGCCCCCGCTCCAACTTTATGTCAAAAACCCGGGAAACATAAGTCATACCCCGAACTGTAGCCTCTAATTAGCGTTAGCTTCCCTCAGCCAGAGAAAACTGACCACCGCTGTTGTGTAACCAAACGCGTATAGAATGACACACAGCTCCGGCCAGATTCAGATAAATATTTTCAGACAGGTGATTGATTATTTGGAAGTGGAGGAAACCAGCAGGCGTTTCTTTAACGAGGACCTCACGCCCGGAGGACGCTCAGCAGGAACTCTGCCCACATCCAAGTCGGCCATTTTGATTAGGTCACCAATAGGAAGATCCCAGGCAAGAAAATCCTAATTGCTTCATGGCAATATAGACATTAATTTAAAAATAGTGACAATAATCTTGCAAAACACTGAATTAAACTCTATACATAATATTATGTTAAAATAGTGGATGTTAAATAGGTTTGTACAATACGTCCAAACACGTTTAACTAAAAAATATTTATGATTCACAATTATGAAGGGTGGAGAGTTAGGGTTAGGGTCAGGTTAGGGTCAGGGTTAAGTTTTGGGTCAGGTTTAAGGTCAGGTTTAGAGTCAGGGTTAGGTTTAGGGTTTGGTTTAGGGTCAGGATTAGGTTTAGGGTCAGGTTTAAGGTTAGGTTTAGAGTTAGGGTGAGTTTTATGGTCAGGGTTAGGGTCATGGTTAGGGTCAGGTTTAGGGTTAGGTTTAGGGTTGGGTTTAGGGTCAGGGTTAGGTTTAGGGTTAGGGTTAGGTTTATGGTCAGGGTTAGGTTGAGGTTTAGGGTCAGGGTTAGGGTCAGGGTTAGGGTTAAGGTCAGGGTTAAGACATCGTTTGTCTTCCGATTTCGTATAGACAGTAAATTTTCGTTTCCACCTCAGAAAGCTGCTAGTCACATGACCTAATAAAAATGGCCGACTTGGATGTGGGCGGAGTCGGATATCCAGCCGAGGCTCCTACAGACTACATCCAGAGGTCTGCAGTAACGAGCGATTAGGGTTAGGGTTAGGGTTAGGTACCTTTCGTCCGGCCTCGTTGTTGTGGAGGTTCATGAGCCGGCGTGCGTTTTTCCTGATTTCGCGGGCGTCCACGAAGCGGCGCGAGAACTCCACGCCGTATTTAACGTCCGCGGAGCAGCCGCCCCACCTCCAGCCCTCCGCCCGGTCCTGGTAGCCCTGCTTATCGCGGTCGCAGCCGCACTGGCTCAGGTTGCCATGGCTACAGGCCTCCGTCACGGCGTGCGCCACGCCGGCCGCCGTGATGGCGTAAGTGAACGCCGCCTCCCGGCTGCCTGAGGAGAGACCGACCAATCACATCGCTTCTTTTGTTTTTGTTTTTTTTATATGAAGGATCTTTTTTTCTCTGAAGGATCTCCCAGTACAACCTAACTCTTACCCTAAACCTAACCCTAAACTTGACCCTAACCCTAAACCTAACCCTGACCCTAAACCTAACCTTAAGCCTGACCCTAAACCTAATCCTGACCATAAACCTAATATTAAACCTGACCCTAAACCTGACCCTAACCCTAAACCTAACCCTGACCCTAAACCTGACCCTAAACCTAATCTTAAACCTGACCCCAACCCTAAACGTAACCCTGACCCTAAACCTAACCCTGACCCTAAACCTGACCCTAACCCTTACCCTAAACCTAACCCTGACCCTAAACCTCACCTTAATCCTGACCCTAAACCTGACCCTAACCCTTACCCTAAACCTAACCCTGACCCTAAACCTCACCTTAATCCTGACCCTAACCCTGACCCTAAACCTAACCTTAAACCTGACCCTGACCCTAAACCTGACCCTAAACCTAACCCTGACCCTAAACCTGACCCTAAACCTAACCCTAAACCTAACCTTGAACCTGACCCTAAACCTAACCTTAAACCTGACCCTAAACCTAACCTTAAACCTGACCCTAAACCTAACCCTGACCCTAAACCTGACCCTAAACCTAACCTTAAACCAAACCCTAAACCTAACCCTGACCCTAAACCTGACCCTAAACCTAACCCTAAACCTAACCTTAAACCTGACCCTAAATCTAATCCTGACCATAAACCTGACCCTAAACCTAAACCTTGAACTTTATTTAGGTTTTAACAAAATAAAACATACAAAGTATACCATGTTGCTCATTATACCAATTGGGTATGCAAGCACTGAAAACAGACAATATAAAACTAAACAAACCATAAAAGAAAAACAAGAAAGATTGATCTGAGCTGGAAACCTCATTGACCCGTATAGGAAAAGCAGGGGGCCCATTTGTCATGATAATCATCTACTCTATTTAACAGTCTGTATGATAATCTTTCAAATGCTGCCAGTTGTCTAAGTGAGGTGTGCCACTGGGTGAAAGTAGTTGTCACCAAAAGTTTTCTCCCCAACATGATGGCTGTCTGTACCCACTGTGCAAGAGAAGAGGGCAAATAAATAACTCAAAACTGAAGGATCTCATAAACATAAATAAAGCTTGTTAGTAAAGGGAATGCCCCGACCAACAACTTTCTCCAGAACAGTGTGAACAGAGGACCAATACACCTGAACTTTAGGACATCCCCAGAGCATATGCAAAAGTGTGCCACTATCATGCCAATCACATCACTTCTAACGGGGAAACTTCGGGCCTCAGGATGTTGGAAAACAACTTAAAACGAAGGCTAAACGGTTTCATGAAAGCAGCTTTTTAGCGTCTTTATTATTATTATCTGGAGGGCTAATCAGCCTTCAAACCTCATGTTTTTTCAGTTCTTCAGGCCATCTCGGCCGTCCAGTCGGGCAGATTTACCACCTTTTTTGGGGGGTTTTATCCTGTCGATGCTTCAGTTTCTGGTTGGCTTTAGCTGGAATTAAATGCATAAATCATCTGCCCTCCTGTGGCTCCATTTTAGTGCAAAACAACTTCTTTCCCGTTCCTTAGGGCAGATTTTTGTGTGGATAAAGGTTCATTTATCTGAATATGTTAGTCAGTGAGATGTTTTGCCAGTCAGGTTCCTCGTTTTTACACAATATATTTATTGTTTTGGTGCTCTTTCACCCTATAATGATGTCATTTGTACTCGGGAATAGGAGTGTGGGTGCATTAATGTGATTGAGTCTCATGAACGGAGGTGAAAATGATGAAGAAAAATCAGGCTTCTGTTTGATTTTTGATCCGAACATGGTTTAGAAATTATCTCAGCGTGTTTTACGTCTGATATTATATCATCTGCTGTTAATCTGAGGTTATATATGGACCCTTTTCCCATTTCCGGTTACAAATAAGTTGCAAATTCTGGACAAAACATCAGAGTTCCTCTGGTTTTAACCAATAAACCTGAAAAAGTAAGCTAACGGTGTTCGGAGCCTCAGTTGGCTTATGTTTAATTTAAGTCAATTCCAGTTTTATCCTGAATAATTCCAATTAATTCCAGTTTTATCGACCGTAGCTGAGGACTAACGCCCCCCAGAACCTGGACCGGTGCTGGCCCCCCTCCAGCCTCTAAAAGGGCCTGTGGTTCTGGGGGTGGGGGGGTGT